AAACGATAAAACATAAAATATAATATTCAACATTAAACATATACTCATATCACATCAGAACATCATCATATTCATTCCCGTATGGCTTCACGCCATAGTGTTAGCCGTGAACCCTGGTCACATCTCATGACCAGGAGCGCCTCACACGCCGTCACATCGCATGACGTTGACCGTCGCATCGCACGACAATCAAGTAGGTATGGCTTCGCACCATAGAGTCAGCCGTAAACCCTAGTCACATCTCATGACTAGGAGCGCCTCTCACGCCCGTCACATCTCATGACGTTGGTCGTCGCTTCGCGCGACAATCAAATCCCGTATGGCTTCGCACCATAGGGTTAGCCATAAACCCTAGTCACATGGCATGACTAGGAGCGCCTCTCACGCCCGTCACATCTCATGACGTTGGTCGTCGCTTCACGCGACAATCAAATCCCGTATGGCTTCGCACCATAGGGTTAGCCATAAACCATAGTCACATCGCATGACTAGGAGCGCCTCTCACACCCATCACATCGCATGACGTTGGCCGTCGCATCGAATGCGACTATATCACAATCACAATCACGCTCCCCTCGCATCGCACGAGTGAGCTTCAACCATAGCATTCAACATGCATCATCATCCCCTGGCTACAATCACGCGTATCACGGTATTCGACCTCACACCGTTTTACCGTTTCACGCCATGCAATGCTACCCAAAAATAAGCACACAATGATTCACTCGCAGTGTTTATTTCTCACGTCTCACCACGCGTATTCATTCAGTTTGTTCATTTTTATCTTCTCTTTCCCCTTAGGGTTGGTCTGGTCCAGAGCGGTATTTAGTCCAGTGGACCGGATCCAGCCCGTCCCCACGAAATCGGTTGATCGGACCATTTTTTTGTCCAAAACAGGCCTGGTCCGGATCGGACCAGGCTTCCTCAGCCTCTTGTCGGACTAAAAATATTTTCCCGGACTTGGTCTGGAGCTGACCAGTTCCTGGTCCGACGGACCGGAATTGGGCAGTTCGTCCGTTCGCGTTTTCAGGTTTTTGGTGACTTCGATTGCTCATAACTCACTCGTTTCTTAACCAAACCATGCATCGTTTATTTCTAAATGTTCATTGGGATGTCCTTTCTCATGTATACACGATGAAAAATGATTCGAATCGCCTGTATCTCGAAATATCGCGATTCTGCAAATTTCAGTTTTTCCACAGTTTTCGTTTGTTCATATCTCCTTCGTTTCTCAGCCAAATTGAGCGCCGTTTGTTTCTAAATTCTCGTT